TTTAAGCTATAGGCTATTTATACCATTAACCTATTCACACCGTTCTATGGTAAGGCTAAATATTGACTCAAAAGTTAATAATAATGAATTATATAAATTCTATATATATATATATACACAGGGTGTAACAGATAGAACTGACTTTTGGAATAACTTTTGTTATGATCATTATTTTTAATTTTTTTTTTTATATATAATTTATAGCCACTTGTTCTACACGTGTAAGAGGAAAAAAATTATTTTTATTTTTTATATTAAAAATAAAAAAATTTAAATTTGACTTAAATTTTTTTGAATAAATTCAAAATAGCAAACTTGTGAATCTGATTTTAAGAACGATTTGGATGGTAAAAACATTTATCTAAGTCTAGTAGTTTATTTTTTAGAATTTTTTTAAATATCAATATTTTTTTGATAAAATAAATTTGGAACGCAATAGCTTTTTTAAAAATATTATTTTTGGAAATTTTATAACATGGGTATATTCTTAAAACTATTTACTAATCATATAATTTCAACAATTTTTGTCATACATTTAAGTAGCATCAATTTTTTTTTTTTTTTGGTCAGTTCTTTCTGTTACACACGGTATATATTATATAATATTTATACATTATAGTATAATACTGTATAATTTTTACCTACAACCTACTAATAATTACTATTATGGTATTATTCATTTTACATTATTTTATAATAATTAAGTATTAATAATATAATAAATGCAATGTTTTCGGGAAAAATTAATTCAACTAACCGTATTATACTAGGTTATATAAAAAAAAAATCTCTATAATAAATACTACTATTGGTAGTCAGTAATTATATAGGCTGACAGAACGGCTCAAAATTACCTTTCGTATACAATGATTTATCATTGAAATCAGATTTAACACATAAATTACACTTACAGTGACTTACTCAAAATTTAATATAGAGGTACACTCAACACCTACTGTACCTACCTACTTCAGAGCTACACTAACTAGTCACTTTCCTCCTTTTTTAAAATTTTTTAAATAGCTACGATATGTAAATTATAGATACGTCTATACCTACGTATTAGTATTCTGCGTTGGAATTTGGAGTCAAGTCAATACCTAAATCATAAAATATGTGTCTTACATTCTAATCTATCTGAAGTCTGTTATCTAAAAACAATATTTATTTATGTGGGCCGATAAACGTCATTCATCACTCATCAGAGTACCTATCAGACATTTATAAAATAATATGTTTGTTGCTGTATATAGACTATATAATCTACATTATAGAGTAGAAAATATGTAGAATGGTAGATAACATTATAGCCACTGCAGCCATTATAGTATATTATAAGACACAATTGCAGTAATAATTGAGAAATGGAATATCAATCACGATTGTAGAATATATTATTTACCTACTAAACATTATAATCGAGATTAATGTATTTAGATATAGGTACCCTAATATAATATTAGCTATTAAAATTTAATTATAATAGTCAATGCTCAGAAGATATCTCAGGGCTTAGAACTTGCATTAAAATGTATAATTAGTATTGATCATTAAATAGGTTAAAATATACTTATTAAAATACTGTTTAGAAAAAAAATTTAATTGAAGTATATGTACCCTGAGTAGTTATTTTATTAAAGAACATTAAATATTTCAAAACGTATTAACGTTTTTGAAAATATTTTATTTACATAGATTTTATTCGTTACAAAACAATATTTTACCGTCATCATGGACAGGTTAATCGTAGCTTATTACTTTTTTGTATGATGGTTAGATAATTGTTTTTTCTAAAACAGAAGAATATATTTTTTTTAGAATAGGTACAATGAGTACTTCGATAGTTCAATAAATACAATTTGACAGGAAAGTTATGTTAGAATTTTACATGTTTGATGTAATTCAAAAAAAAAAATTACCATAATCAGAGTGGTTCAAAAAGGAACATACCCTCAGATTTAAAAAATATTATTTAACAACAAGAAATTTAATTTTAATTTTAAAATAGTGATAATTTTTTTCTTTAATATAAATGAAAACGAGTAGGTAAGTAAAGTTAAGCGCAGGGCTTGTAAACGTTATAATACCGTTATGATTAAAAAGTTATACTTGACAAAAAACGATTGAAATTTGTAAACGTAATTATAACGGAAAGCGATGATCAAAAATAATTAAATACCACAAAACAGAACATAACGATTAACAAAATATATTAAATATCATTAAACAAATAAAAACGTAAGACGTAATTTATAGAAAACGAAATATTTTAAAATCTATTTATTTCATGCAAACAATCTAAGAATTGATTATATTGTATTTCGTATAAGGGAATAATTACCCTCATTAGTTATTATTTTTAAATTTAATAGGTATTACCACTATTTTAAATAACGATGAATGCAAAACTTGTTTAACGTTTTAGTTCTAAATAGGTAACGATAAACCCAAAAGTTGAATAACATTTTAATTCTAAATAACGATAAGCTCAAAAATTGTGTAACGTTTTGATTGTAAATAACATAAAACAGAATTTTTTTTTCAAATGCATTAGTTAGGTACATAATGCAAAGTTATTTAATATTTTTATCATATATAAATGGTTGAACAAAAGGTAATTCATAAAATAATTTAAGATATTATAGTTAATATTAATCTAAGTAATAAGTATAATGTAAGTACTCAAAATGTTCAATAAATATATCTATTAGGGTTACCTAATAGATATATTATAGGTACCCCATTCTAAAGAATATATGTTGAAATCCAAAAAATGATCAGTATTGACTTTTATCATAAAAATGTCCATACAACTATCAATATATGGTGATTATTTGTGTTGCAAAAGCGTTTATTAATTAACTATTTCAATAAAAAATCCGTAAAATATAGAGAGGCTATTATTATATTGTACTTTAAAAGAGCATCAATGATTAATAGTCTATGTGATCGTGATGCAAATGCACTTGCACACTTTCGCACCACACAAAAATTCTACTCAATTTAGTACCATTTTTTTTCGTTTTGAACCGACGAACCGCAAAACCTTTCACCTTAATTTCGTGAAACTCAATATAGTACCTACCTATACAATACCATAATATATTTGGCATAAATTCACTTTAGCTACCCAGCATTTTTATTTTTTTTTTTTAAGTTAAGAACGATGGGACAAAAAAAAATTGCGGAAATCATTTTATCATTATTTTATTTAACCTTCCAAAGTTTGCGTTTTTACGTTTACATGTTTATGCACAACACTGTACTTTACTGTTACGTCTATAACGAATTTTGACTCTTTTTACACGTCGAAATACGTGTTTAAAAAAAAAAAAATGCTAATTAGCTAAAGTGAATTTGTTCCAAATATAAAATTTATTTTGTTTGTAATATATTATAATGTAATTATTTGGGTAGGTATATAGTTCTTTTATGTACGGTTTATAAAATAAACTCTAATTGTATTGTACCTATATATTGTATTATGTTATAAAGGCTCTGGGGGGATCTTTCCCTCTAGCCACCCTTAATATTACACCCCTGCCCGCTATAGATACCTACATACGTCATAATGAGCCCAATATACTAGAAAATACGTCGTTAATCGACTCGGTCAACGAGACCGCGGCATCGCATATACCACACCCCGAGAACTATCATGTAATACAAGAAGAAACCTATTATTAGGTACACTATGGTTTAATTATTCGTAGTGCACAGATGCATTTTTTTTATGCGCCTCGGCGTGTGGTATATTATTTTAATAATAGTGCAGTGCACCATAAATATAGCCATAGAGTCACGGCACCGGCATATGCGCATTACCAACGGTGGTGTGGAGTGTGGACGGACCCACCACTTGTGCCCAGAAAGTTCTGGAGCGTTTCAGACAGTGTGTGCGTGTCCGAACGAAACTTTCTCGATGCTCTGCACCAGTGCGAACGGACTCGCGCTTCAGTATTTGTGCGCATATTTGTACTTTCGTACAACGTAATAAATAATATGTTTTCAGTATAATATATTATAAAAATATAGTATTATGATACGCGCGCTATAATATTATACAGGCACTCGATTAATGATATCGATTAATATGTGCATGTAGGGTTTTACGTCGTGTGCGTTGCTCTTTGATTATGATATAATAACAGGTTTTTATTTTTAAAAATTGTATGATATATTGTTATTATTGTTCTCTCCGTCACGCCGTAGAGCATCGATGAATCATGAATATTATCAATACCTATCGAGGAAAAGCAAACTGTTCGGGTTGAACGAGTTCGATGTGCACATTCAGACGTCGCCATTATTGTAACTATTATTAAGTCAATATAGTAATAGTCGGTTAAGTCGTTTTGTGAATTCAATACCCGACGACGTGTTGCGGTGGCGCCTGGCTAGCAGACTCGAAAACAATCGATTTTCACTGAAGTGTCGTAGTACGTTTTTCGTGCGAGTGTCGTTACCAAGCTTTTACGTTAATCGTATCGTCGGCCGCTGCTCTTCAGTCTTTTCCCTTCCAGTCGAATACCACCAGCGGCAATACGCTGACACGGCACCTGCGTCTCCCCGCGGACCACCTGCCTGCCAATCAGTCGTCCAGTCGTGTGTATAATATTATTATTATAGTGAAGACGTAAAAAGTGTTATCACAGGATCGCAATGGCAGCTGCTTGATGCCGCTGTAACAATAACAATGGACTGATGATAACGTTTTTTTTTTTTTTTTACTGTTTATAATTTTATAATTCATTGTTTACGATTATAGAAACAAAAGACCGAACGGCATAAAAATCTCCGTCGCTACTAGCTAGTCGTCGGGGATCGATCGTTCGGAACCTCTCTTAGTTTTGATTTCTTATGCTAATTCACGAAAAGCAGCCGCCGTCGAGGCGGTTGAATTATTATTACAAACCTTGCAAATCGAATAATTTCGATACGTACAATAATTTATTTTCGTAACGATGCATTGATCTGCTGGCAGTGTGGACTTCAGAAAAATGGTCACTGTCAACAGCAATAACAGCAGCAGCAGCACCAGCAATTCAACACAATTAGTTGAAACGGTGTCAATCGATTATGACGACTTCAACGATGCCTTTTTGACGTGCGCAACTTGTCTGTGTGAGAATTTGTATACTTTGTTGTTTTGTTGTAAACAAATATGTGTTATAAAAATATAAAATAAAAAAATTTTTTTATACTTTGTCGTTGTAAATATTATTTTAGGTGTATATGATGGAGTTGAACGTGCGCCGAAACTCTTACCGTGCTCACATACAGTGTGTGTTCACTGTTTGACAAGGATTGCAGCAGCTGCTAACAATCGACGCACAACACAAGACTTGAACAATGGCCGAGGCAGTGGTAGTAATACTATACAATCTCAGCAACAACAGGAATCTCAGACTGCTCAACAACAACGGCAAACCTTTAGGTGTCCAATATGCAGGGAACTTATAGTTGTTCCTCAAAATGGTGGAGTCACAGCCCTCCCTCCATCATTTCTAGTCAATCAACTACTCGATTTGATATCTACTCATAGACGACGCACCTTAATACCAACATGTTGTGGGGGTGGTGTATTATCTTCACACATTAATCAGGTATTACAAATTAAAACTACAGCCCGGAATTATATGCATTTTAAAAAGTATCAAATATAAAAATGGAAAAAAAAGGTGTAAAGATGGTAACCGTTCTGCTGTACATTAGGTGCTGAGCAGTTGTGCAATATTTAATCTATATAATTATTCCAATAAATATGTATTTAAATGATTTTTTACCATTTTTTGAATAATAATATTTTCAAATTAGAATACATTTGTATTTGAATAATTGAAAAAAATCATTCAAATAATAATTTATTCAAATAAAATGTTATCTAAATAATCATCTTAATAAAATCTAATTTGAATAACGCCCTACTATGGTGTCGAGTGTACCTCATCACTGAGGAGTAAGTCACTGTAATTTACATGTTAAATTTGAATTCAATGATAAATCATTGCATAGAAAAAACAATAATAATCAAAGACTTTCTGTCAATTTGTATTACCTAATAAGTATTTTTTATGTTTGATATTGTTAATAAAGTAATTTATTTTACTGTTAGTAGTACATTAGGTTGAATTAATTTTTATCAAAGACACTAAATTTAAAATTGTCATTGTTGTGTATATGAAATATAATGGGCTGTCATATGCGCTGTACCAGAAACATTGTAAGGATGTGCAGTATGTGCTCTACCGTTTTTGGTATTTAAATAATATTATTTTTGAAGTGGAAAATGTAAAAGTGGGTTTGACAAATTAAATAATATTCAGTTATTGTAAATAGGTTATTATAATATTATTAACAGCTTTGTTGGAATCCTCTCGTTATTTATCACATATCACTTATATTAATAATGTAGGTATGCTTTTAAATTTTGTTCTTTAAAAGTACTATTCATAATTATAATACAATTATTAAAATATTTGTGCCATGTCCCTTAAAAGGCGTTAAATGAGACTTTTTTATTGATTCGATTTCACCATGGTTCAGTAAGATACCTGTAATATCTGTTTATTATTTTTATAAATAATTAATAATTTGTATTAATTAATATTAATAAATATAATAAATTCTATTATTATATGATATTCATAGAGTAATATGGAGAGGACTATCAAGAGTTACACCACACATATTTTTGTACAATTTTTAGCCTTAGAGCTCTCTACAAACTTTCTATTCTTCGAGTATGTTTATTGAATACTATTATTGTAATCTTCGCGTGACCGCTAGTAAATCTCAATCTGCGGTATAGCACAGAATATATGATAGCCAAATAATAATTAATAATATACGTTAAAAGTTTCAAGCACCCACTTATAATATTTTTCAATAACAACAAAATAACTAAAATTGTTATCTTCTCTTAAATATCTAATTTCGTCCAAATTTGAACTAAAAATTTCTTTTAAAAAATTTGTGTTAATATTTATTTTAGATGTTTCGGTTACAGTAAGAACTACTTATGAGGAACCTTGTATTACGTTTTCAATTTAATAGGTACAAGCTATTTTCAGCTATGAAAATTTAACGTAAACATTTTTCACTACAATATAATTTGCAAATTTGATTGATTTTGTCAAAATATCAACTTTCAATGACTATAAAAAATTGGGCTTTTAATATTTCCAAATAACTATAAAATCATCATATAGAGGACCCTTGTATTTTCAAGTTTTTTGAGTTGTCAAAAATGTTTTATTGTCATTTATAGAAAAAAAAAACTGATAAAAATTGAAAATGTAAAATGTCTAAATAATATGCAGTTATATTCATTATACTAATTATACTTATATAATAATAATAATGTTCTTACGGAAGTAAATAGGTATTACATTTTATAGTAGATACATAATGTGACATTTTTAATGTTAAAAAATAGATTAAAATATAGGTTATTATAATAATTTAAATTAAAGTTAGTTTTGATTAATACAACGAAAAATAAATATACATATAGTTACATATAAAAATAAAGTAAGATAGAAAATACATGAATGAACATACTTAGTTTATATTATCACACCAAAAACACTTCGTTATAACTCCGTGTAAAATAAAAGCTAAGTTAAAAAAAAAATTTAGTCATGATTAAATCTTTAAAAGAAGTAATATAATATGGAAATTAAGTAAAATTACATTTTATAATATTACAAATACCTATGATGAGAAATAAGAACAATTGTAATGTTAAATACTTAGTCAACATAATATTGTTGATACATTATTAATTACTGTAAATACTGTAGTGATTACTTAATTGTATTTATTTAAACATAATATGTTGACTAAGGGCCGTTCTTACGATGTCCGGTTAAAGTTAACCGACACTTTACCGGACATTGTAAGAACGGCCCTTAGTATTTAAATATATAGTATAATATAGGTACCTATATAAATAATATGTTTACTTTATATTTTTGTATAAAATATTGTTTACTTTACAATATACTTAAATAAAAATAAATAGGTATAAATATAATATAATATAAATACATTTTTTTATTTATATTTACCTATGCGGGCCACGGACCGGTTAAAACTTGTTCGCGGGCCGTAGTTTGGAGACCCCTGATCTATATTATACTATCTTGCTGGTCGTCACTCGTCAGTCGTCAGCAATCACGGACTAAGATTTATCTTAGTCCGTGTCAGCAATACACCATACACGAAATCGTATAATGGTAAATGGTTGCCAACGACCGTCGATCGGTATCCGAGAGACCGCGCCGTGGCAATCGCCCATCGTCGTACGTCGTCGCCGCCGCCGCCGCAATGAGAGTAGTGGCGATGGATAAGCGGCGGGTCGGGGGATATTTACGATATTTTCGTTCCCCGACCCACCGCTTATCCATACCCACTGTTCCGTACTCAAAATCGGTCTTAAAAATACTTGAACATTTTTGCTTATAACTTATAAACTAGGTATCTATTTTTTTTTATAACCAATCTGCTAGCAAATTCTTCTGTTCTCATCTGCACAATATTTATGATCGATTGATACCTCATACGACTTTATATGTTCAGCCGTTTGCCCTGTAGAGCTTGGCAAAGAATTGACATAAATTAGGACGATTTTTCAATGTTAAACTCGGTGTCCTGTTATTATACGTTAGTGGCTACTCCGCTATTTTTTTTTTACTTAGCTTCGCGCCACTACCGTCGCGCTGGATATCATATATGATGAATCTGTTTACTGTGTGTTGTATGAAATAAATAAATATTACATATAGAATTACCAACCAAAATATTAATTTGAAGGAGTGTATATTTTGTGTATACTAGAAGCAGTTTTAAGATAGAATAGGAATTTCTTTATAGTATTGAATGATCAAAGTTTAAAATTCAAACGTTAATAATTTCAAACAATTAATCTGATTATGGAGTTATTTAAATACAAATGTAAAGTTAATCAATTCAAATTTTGTATTAAATGAAATAATCTTAAGAAACTGCTTACATAGTCATATCTTGAATGTCATTGAAAATCGAAATTACAGTACCTATACATAAAAATTTTAAATTGTTATTACCTATTTCTAAATTTGTTAATTTATTTCTCATTAAATGTGTATATTAGGTAGGTATATGTATTTATGAACTAATATACAATGTACATCAAAATAAACAAAATAACATTTGGTATGATAATATTATGAAACGTTGAAATTTTGAACTATTATGCAAACTTCAAAACTACACAATATAAATAAACACCACTTATATAATTCCGGGCTGGTCTACTTATAACTAACAATATCAGAACCTGAAATATTATTAATGGTTTTATGTATTATTTTATTTTTTCCATATTTACTAGGAATTGCTGTATTGTGAAACATGTGATCAAGTATTCTGCTCAGTTTGTACTAAACACGAGACAGCAATAGGTGGAGGCACCCTTATTTCATCTAAATCTCCACCATTGGTTCATACAATAATACCAGTATCTGTAGCTATGAAACGTACATCTGAAATAATGTTGTATAAAGCTAATGAATGTGTTTCAAAAGTATGTGTCACTGATATTTATGTGTTATACAAATGTTGGTGGTATACATATTAATTTAAATGAATTGTAATTCATTTAAATTATAGTTGAACTGTTCGAGGGATGGAGTATGTGCTGAACTAGAACGTTTAGATACAGCTCGTAATGAATGTTTATCTACTTTGGATGATACATTTAGTGATCTGATGAACATTATAGAAGTCCGTAAGCAACAATTGCAACAACAAATACATAAGGCATGTGATGCAAAAAATAGAATTTTGAGTCAACAACTCTCAGCTATTGATATTGAAAAAACTAAAGTATGTATAAAACCAATGTAGTTGTTTTGTATTATATAGCTTTTGTTATGTTGTCGTCCATTAGTCATTATAATGTGTTAATAACATTACCTATTTCATTTATGTCTAGGTTATGGACGAATGTGGCAATGTCAATCAATTATTGGATGTACAATCTATTAATCAACGGATACAAATTTTAAATGATCGTTTGCAAAAACCTACAGGCGGTATTGAAGAACCTCGTGAAAATGCTTTTATTGCCTTGGATTTGGATCTAACAGCAATAAAAAATGTTGTAAATAATGCTATTGGACAAATGGGTTGTGTACGCACTACAACTACTTGTCCTGGTAATTGTACACTGAATGTTGCTGAATCAAATGGTAATGTTGTTTTAATCAAATATCAGCTTAATAACATTTGTCTATAGGCTTAAAAATATCTTTGTATTTTTAGGAGAAAATTTGTTGATACCTCGTTTAGTTGATACGCAAGTTGCTACATTAACAGCTGTTGACTATGATGGGAAACGACGCAATTTGGGTGGTGATCCAGTAATTATAAAATTAATTGGACCTTTGGATGACACACAACAAGAAATGGCTCCAAACAATTTAGGGCATCTACACCAAGATAATAATACTAGTGATGATGGAGTGCGTATTGTTGATCATAAAAATGGCCAATACACAATCCGTCTACGTTTATCTAATTGTGGCAGGTATATTAAAATAGGAATTTTTAAGAAAAAACATTTTATTAATTTGACTTCTGTTTTTATGTATTTTAGATATAAACTTCTTGTTTATGTGCTTGGTAGACCTGTAGCATGTAATGGTAATACTGGACATATTGACTTTTCTATAATAAAAAGTATTGACCCTATATGCCAATATAGTAGAGGACCTTCAATGCAACAGCCTGTTGCAATTGCTGTAGATCACAATTCCGCTAGGGTAAGATGCCAAAAAATTATGTAGAATATGATTTAACAGGTAATAATATGCATCTCATTAAAATGTTGTATTTATAATTTCTAGGTGTATGTTTTAGATACTGGAAATTGTCGCATAAGAGTGCTTGATACCCACTTAAACTATATATGTGACGTACAAAACATTGAAGCTATGCGAGGTCGTTCTTCAACTGGTATTGGTTTATTGAGCGATGATACTTTAGTTACAGTTAATTGGCGTACAAACACAGTGACTCAGTAATAATTCCATGATTCGAAAATATATATCTATTTATTCATGGTTACAAAAACTATTTTTTTTTTTTAGAATGACTTTAGATGGTGAAACAGTTAAGTCGTGGACACATTCGAGTATGATTGAGCCTATGTGTGTTGCTGTGGATAGAATTTATGATCATGTATTAATAGGGGATTCTTCATGTAACATACATGCATTTAAAGCGGCAACAGGACAACATCTATTTACAGTAAGGATTAAACAAATGTGATGATAAACAAAACACTTATATTTTTCATACATGTTATTGAGTTAATGTATTTTTTTAAACTATCTTATCTTCTGTACATTTACCATAACTTACTTTAACAACTCATACCTGTAATATTTGACTTTTAACCTATAATATTGTATTTCAAAATTGAAGTACAGAATATATTGCTAGACACTTTTATGTGTGACCCAACAGTTTACACATATTTATTATTATAATTTTTTTTTATAGATAAATAATAATAAAAGTAATGGGAAATCGGCTGAATGTGTTGGTACCTTTATGGCAATTGGGCCAAATTCACAGATAATTGTAATTTCTGGTATTACTACAACTGGATGTCGCTGTTTAGATATATATTCATGCAAAGGCACGTATGAGCGGTCAATTACGGTTATGACAGCAACAGATAAATGTAAGTAGCTTATAAAATTATTAATAATTATTTCTTTAAATGGTCTTACTTCTAAGTAATACATGTTTTCAATTTTTAATAGCCACACATTTATATAGCTCATTGGCTACTTGTAATAATTTTATACTGGCAACTAGACGCCATTATAACTCATACGTAATTGACTTGATTGATATGGAAACAGAAAAATTAGTGAACACTGTTGATTCCAATGGCTGCAAATTGCGTCGTCCAGCTGGCATGGTAGCATTTTCCGAACTTCAAGATTCTGTTATCGATGATAGTCAACAATGCTCATCGTATTATTTATTGGTGACTGATGTAGCAGCCGATAGCGTAAAAAAATATCGATTTTTTTAACTAGTATTAGTCTACTACTTATTAAACAAAAAAATACTTGTCTACTTAATTATGTATTAAAACTTAAAATGTTATAAGTCTAAAATAATTATATGTGTTAAATATTCTTCTCTTTTCATATTTGTGTACTATGTTTTCAGTTTTGTATAGTTAAGTCATTCTGTTTTAAAAAAATGCCCTGTTTTTAAAATTAATAGTTAACATATGTTTAGAGAGGTTGATATTTAATGATCCTATTAAATTTATTCAAAAGCTAAAAGCTCAATCGTATTTAATGTGTCTAATTAAATATTAAGGCTATTATTGAAAAATGTTTATAATGTATGTAAAACATATATTGGTTATGACTTTTCCGGGTTTTATATATTGACCTTTATGTGCAAAGATTTATGCTTTTATATAAGTTTTTAAAACTATACCAACCATTTCATATAAGTCAGAATGATTGTACTAAATACTATAAATATGTATTCTGTTCTTCATATTCTAGTCATATATATTTTTATTCTTTACTATACTATAAGGTAAATGTATGCAGAGTTTAAAATACCACTACTTAGTATAAATATTTATATTAGACTTATTGTGTAATCATGTTTATGTTTGTATTAAGAAAAAAATCATAAATAATGTGGTTATTTTATAGTTTATTTAATGATGATATTATAACACATCGAATTACTTATCATAACACTAACTTAGAAAAATACACGTTTTAATGTCAAATAAAGAAGAACAACTAAAGAACATTTATAATTTTTTTTTTTTATTATTAATATTAATTTACTACCTCATTTACATCAATTATTTTGATTTTAATACTTAACAGTCTTGACACAAGATGAAATAATCGAGGCGGTTAAAATACAAAAAAACTATCTCATTTTAATAGGGTAAGTATTCACACATATACATTTACAGACACACACATATACATTTACAGACACACACATACACATATACAGTTACACACATAATGACATGTGGAAATTTACAATACTGCTTATACATAGTAAAAATAGTATACAAATATAAATTAAATATTTGTTATAAGGCATGTTATGAGAAAATAAATAGGTATTAACTGCAAGTTATTGTTCAATGGTTAAGAGACCAAATATTCCTTTCAGTATATTCCTTAAAGTATATTAAGACAAATAATGTTTAATTTTTAAAATTATTAAAACTATATGCATTAATGCAATTGGAAGTATGGAAGAACTGGCTCTAAGGAATGTTTTTATAGCTTCCTTTAAAAGTGTTATGTAAATTCAGTGTACTGTAATAATATCTAGTTTCCTGGTTATGGTACTGAAGACTGAAATTGCACCTTTGACTAGATGTATATTACAATTATTATCATTTGTAAGTCAAACACATTTTATAATATACTGTTAGGTAGTACAAAAATGAATTATTTGACACATATTATATTCAAATTTTGTTTGTTATTGGTTGTAATAGGTTCTAAATGTATTTTTTAAAATGACTTTTCCTGCTATTTTTAAAAGACCTAGTATTTTGTTAACAGTCTATCAATTGGTAACTTTGACTCTTGATATAAAAGTTAGTTTCATACTTCGACATGCATTAAATAATTTATGATTAAGTGAATACACTTAAAGCTTAATTTAAGCTTATATTGTTGTCACCAAAATATAAATTAGTTTTTAAACTTAACCATATTGTACACTAACATTATTTACACATATTAAATAGGTACTATTTATTATTATTATTTCACAAAAAATATTTTATTTCTTCTTAGTATTTGGGATATAGTTATAGTTTTCTTTTAAAACTACTAATGAAAATCCAAACATAATATTAAAAGTTATAAATTAAAATCTATTAATATTATTTAATATTAATTATAATTAGACACTTAAAACAACTAAAAAAATTATGAAAAAAGTTAAACATGTGTTTTTTTAAATGTGTTCTCCCATATTTGGTCTTTTAACCACTAATTATTCTTATGAATCGACGGGTGTTGTGAATGAATAAAGAAAATAATTCTTCCGGTAGAGATTTTGCGTAAAAAAAGAAAAGGCAAAAGAGATATGGACATGACCAGATGCTATACTTCGTGATTGTCGGAAAAACTGGGTATGTTTCATTATTTTGATACAACTTAAATTTTATAAATTATACAGTGATTAGTAACCACTTGTATTGTTATGAGATTTTGTGCCAGTCATATGGGCCGGACCGCTGCCATTTATAGTGCGAACAGTGTTCTTCAACGCCTGACGTTTATTGCAAAACCAAATGCGTATCACTTCACGTTCGTAGCCCAATCTGTGTGCCAGTCCAGTGATTTCAGATCCTGAAAACGAAAAGGTATTTTGTACTAATAACACAATATTCAATATTCTATGGACTAAGTAAAAAAAAATAACCTATTTATAATACCTATTTTATTCTATATAGCTTAACACAATCTAATGGTGGGTATTATAAAATAAATTCACGAATTTCTTGAAAATAATTAGGCACCCACCTAATTAATGTCTGTACGTCCTTAAAAAAATATTTCAATTATTTTAATTCGTACGTTGTTTGTAAGTCGTACGTGCTATATATTTTAACTGCAATTAAATTTATTTAGGTACTAGATAGGCGTACACCATTTTTGTGAGCACAAATTATATTATCAGTCATTTTAGGTAGGTGCCTATTAAGTTGATAGGTTCTTATTTTAGTGTAAGCACGGACTAAGATATACAGGACTGGACACGAGATGAATATTGTGGTTACGAAATGTTTTACAACAGGCGGAGTTCGGGGGGATATTTTCCTTTTAGCATTACTAGCGCCGTCTTAGTGGATACTTATGGAACTAGAAATTTGTATGATGTGTTCTAGTTCCATAAGTATCCACTAGGACGGCGCTAGTAATGCTAAAAGGAAAATATCCCCCCGAACACTGCCTGTTGTAAAACATTTCGTAGTCAACCCCCCCACACCCTCCAACCATGTCGTGTCCAGTCCTGTATATCTTAGTCCGTGAGTGTAAGTGTATTATCAGTACCTATTCGCTATTTTGGTAGGTAAGAGGTACCTATTTCATAATAGGTAGGTACACTAGTCCACTGTAGTAGACACATAATTAAAAAGTGTATTTTTTTTCTTGGGAAGGTAATGACCGAAGTGTTTAAGCATTAATACATAATGAGATATAATTAAACATGTTCTTGTGATGGTCTTTATATTATACTAATACCTACTATTTTTTTTTAAATACATGCACCATTAAATCAGTGACAAAATTATGGGTATTAAGTATTTTAATTTTTTAATTGGCTCTAAATATGAATTACAAGTAGATTCCTACCAACCTAGTGTTAACAATGGATATTTATATTTCAATTTATAATGATATTAACAAGTAGGTTAACTTATCTTATTAGTAAGCAAGCCTCAAAATAGTATCTATTAATTATTATAGGTAGGTACTATCATTTTTTTTTTTTTTTACCTGATGGGTGTGTGTTGCGTTCAAAATGACCGTTTAACAATTCTAGGGCGTGTGGTGTAAATGAAGTGCGTCTTTTTCGTTTTTTGCACGACGCTAAGCTGTCACCACCGCCACCACTTGACGATGCAGAGACTCCACCACTCAACAATTCGACAGCTGCTGCTGCAGCAGCCGCTGCGGCGGCTGCGTTATACCTCTGGTGATGTGAGTGACCACCAGTAATGTTTTTGTTGTTGTTATTGTTATTATTGTAATAATACCTAAAAAATATTACTAATTATTCCAACATACTAAATAATTTTAAAATTGTAATTTTTATTTGTTTCAAAAATTATTATAAACAAAATAATCTTATTGCTAAATAAATATATATATATATTTATTGATCCTTAAGCCAGGAATCTATGGCTATTATCTGTTTGTATTGTTGTATTGTGGCGGTGGTAGGGTTTGGAACTGTGAGTTTTTACACTTGAGTGTTTGTATTCGGCAGAAATTTTTAAGTGGGCATCCGTAGGTATCTGCTATGCCCGGGTGGGGGATGGTGGTCTTTCTATCCAGACACCATGATTGCCCGAAGAAAAATTCCACCCGTAACCGGGATCGAACCGGCGTCGGTGCGAGTCGCAACCGACACTCCGTCCCCTATATTTTTTTTTCTTTTGATATAATATAAGGAACCTTTAAGCCCACCGCCGTAAAAATCCAAATTATTCAAATCTAATTGTTTAGCTGCTTTAGAAGCATTTTCTATTCCAAATATTAAAATACTCTAAGGTCTTTCTTTACTCCGTGCATCTATAGTTGTTTAGGTCTGCTTCTTGGTCGTTTTGAATCTAGTTTCCATCCTCTTATTGCCCCTAAGTATTCCCTCCAAACTCTGTATACGTGCCCAGGCCATTTCAAACTGCTGTTCATCATGATACCTACTCTGCCGGGTTTTCTATAGAGTTATTTGAATTGTTTAATGTTCCATATTTCTAAATCTCCTTTTCGTCATTCTTTGTACCTACCATAGGTATGATTTATTCAAGATCTTCTATCGCCCAATCTCAGGTTTTCTTTGTCCGAATTCGTAGTTGCCCATGATTCAAGCGCATTAAGTGTCACTGGTCTAGTGGTCTAACCTGAACTTTGTTGAGTATTGCCTTTTATTAGTTTTTTCTTCTTGATAAAATCTTTGATTTAAACAGGGTTAGGAGATATTTGTCTTTAATGAGATCTGTTTGCTGTTATGAGCCTTTCTTTGATTTCTTGTTTACTAAAGATTCACCATCACTCCAAGAAATATATCCCACTCTTTCAATTGTGTACTTGTCTATTTCCAATTTCCTTGTTCCTATAATCTATACTGTTGTTTGGATAGGTAGTATATTTTTTTTAGCATTAGCTTCATAGTTTATCAGTTTCTCTTCAGTTTCAGTTATTATAACAATATAATCTGGATACCTACTACATTATTATCAGTCGCTGATTATCTTAAATTTTTAAGCAATCAAATTCTGTGAGTATTTGTCACCATACTAATTCCAGTGCTACGTTAAACAAGGTACCTAAGCGATAAGACTATAAGAGTCTCTTAGTCACTGTGAACTCTTCAGAATATGTTTCTTCATAACTGACTTTGCATTTCGAACCGGGTACGTACGTTTTGACCATTCTATCCAATATTAATGACACTCTAATTTTGGTTAGAATTTTACTCTAGGTTTCCTCTCTATTTACTGAGTTGTATGCCCCTTTAAAATCTACAGAGAGCATGTCGACATCTTTATCAAATGCCTGGCTCTTTTCAGTTACCAAGTTGATAACATGGTTCTGGTGTGCTGTCGCCTTACCTGCCAAGATTAATGCTTGGTACTGCCTAATATTATTTCATTGATAAAAGGTTTAATTGTGTTCAGTAGAAGAATGTTTAGTATTAACTTTATACGATGTATTTAATAGAGATATTATTTTATAATTCTTACAATCCATCATATATTATCTCCTGTTTCGTAGGCCGGGCGTAGGATGGACGTAAGCCATGTTTCAGGGATTTCGTCTTGCTATTATGTTATTAATTAGGTAGCTTTTTCTTTCCATTTTTCAGACTATTTCGGAAATAGACTTTCCGTTTTTAAGCGTTTCTATTTTTAGTTCTACTCTTCCGTTCGATGGTTTATCTATATGTTGTTACATAGTGGAAGTCAATACCATTGTTAATCTCAAACCTGGTAAATTTAACAGTGTAGGTACCAACATGTCTTTGAAATTATATTTTTATACCCTGCTATGAGTCTTCTTTTCTCGTCATGGTTGATTTTGTATAAATTTGAATATTTCTTGATTGGCTTTTCCAATTTCCAAAGAAATTTTTTAATTCTATTTATATTATTATAATATAATATAATATAATATAATTACCTACTTAAAGATAATTTATCGCTTACCTCTCCTCCATCATCCATTTCTCCAAAACGGCTGGGTTCACTACGCCCATCATATTATTTGTTTTGATGTTATTATTATTGTTATTGTATACATTATTTGGTTTTTTAGCGGGGTTGCCACTTTCCAGATTCTCAAATCTAAACAACACATATACACACATATTATATAATAATATGTATTTATGATAAATACGAGTTATTTATGTAACTAAAAAAAACATCCTACCTACTCGAAAATTAAAAGTATATAATTAAATGTAAATACACGTTTAAAATAACTAGGTACTAAGACTTTTATAGTTAGATATCACTACCTATATCAGACTGATAGTTATTATAATTATACCTATTATTTTATTTTATTAAAAGATACAAAATTGACAATTCTTACATTGGTTGTTGTGCAGCGGCGAGTTGTGAAGCACATAGCATGTGTGTGGCGAGTGCTCTGAAAAATTATGTATAAAAAAAAAGTTTAACTTTCTTTATCTATAAAATAATATCAGTGTGGGTAAGTTCATGTAATGGAAGTCTTTACTTACGTGCAAATAGCATTTTGCTGATTATATGCAGCCGCTGCTGCAGCAGCTGCAGAGTTCGAGTCCTCATCCTTGGATTGTTTTATGTGGCAGTTGAGTTGTGAAGATGGCGGTGCTAATGACTTTAAAGAATTTATGTTGGCGGAAGACGTTGGAGGCGCAGGAGATATAACATGGGAAGGCTGATGTGGCTGTTGTTTATCTTCTGAAAATATTATGGCCGTGCCGATTATGAAAATAAGTAATTAAATAATAATAATGCATAACAATTATATGAATCGTAAGTGTTTTCGTTTTGCTATAGAAAACACTTTTATTAGTTACATACAATGCAGTGATATACTGACATTGTTTTCCGGCGCACCACCATGCGCTCAAATTAAATATTAAGTATTTTATCATTTTCCTGGGAAATAATAGATTTTTAAGAAATGTTATAAATGTAATTTTTGTTAACAAAAAAATCCATAATATAATATCCATAAAACTTTATTTATAATTTAAAATACATATTTGATAAGTGGAATACTATTTAAATTAAACACAAAAAACTGCCAAACATCCAATATATTTTGCAATTTGTAACACCTTTGGGGCACATGAAGAGGTTGAGTAATCATGACAAAATTTAACTAAAATTACCTTCTTATAGTAGAGAACAAAATGGAAGGGTAAGAAATCTAATATATACATATTTGTTTCCTTACATGTATAGGTATAGAGGTTCTAAAAATCGATATGTATAAGCATGTATGGTAAGTTTATAGTCTTTGGGTAGACAATTTTTAGAATTTTATAATCATCTACTTATTTAATGAGTATTTATTAACATGGTAATACATTTAGGTTTTTCAGAAAATTGCGAAAAACGTAAGTTAGGTTGCAAAGTTGGTAATAAAATATTTCCGATAGTTTGTTAGCTTATTGTTATTCTAAGAATAAGTTATTGTTATTGTTGTTGTTGAGTATTATGTAGGTATTTTAGATTCTGAGAGGAACGATGAATGTATTGATTTTAAAATATGTGTTTGTGTGTGTGTGTTTTTTGTGTCTGTGTACACAATACGTTATCCGAATAGTGCTTTGATTTTAAACTTCAGTATATTTTCCGATGGGAAAGTGAATCTAGTTGGTGCATTGGGGAGGTCAAAATTTAAAATTTTTTATAGTTTTCAAAAGCACCTGGAAAAACAAAAAATGTTTTCAGCAATATCAATTTTGGTGTATGGTGAAGGTATTAGGTACATGACATTTTCACTGAATGTTTATATTAGCAATTTCTATGAATCATAATATTTTCAAAATATTGCGACTCTTTTTGAGCTGTTTATAGAGGCATAAGAAAATTTCGAGTTTTTTTTATGTTTAACATACAAAATAACTTTACCGGAAAGTCAAATAAAATTTGATGAGCCTTTGAAGTTAGACATTAGATATTCACACGTTAACTAACTAATTCTCATACAACGATTTTCTTATATTGTTATTATTCAATAACTTATAATCGAAGATACTTCGAATTTGCACCAAATGTTTATTTTATCATTTCCTATATTTGATAAAAATTTCAAAATATTTTGACCAGTTTATCAATTTTCAATTTTTTAGTTTTTTTTCTATAAATATCAATCAAATTTATTTTGTTTGGTAAATAAATTTGAAAATTTAATACAAAGCTCCTGATACATTATTACAACAGCAGTTGAAAAATATTAAAAATACATAGACACATTTTTTAAAAACATTTTAAGTTCAAATGTTGACGAAATTTATAAAATTTAACATGTACAAATTATTCAGTAGTTAAAAATGTATAAAATGTTTAACTTTTATAGCTTAGGATTAAAAATTCAAAACAAGGTTTCACGTAAGTAGTTAATTCTGTAACCAAAAAAATCTAAAAAATGTATATACAGTTTTTTTTTATAGTTATTTTAAGTTTAATTTTCGACGAAATTAAATATTAAATAACCAAGGATAACAATTTTAGTTATTCTGTTGTAATTTAAAAATATTATTCATGGGTACTTGAAACTTCTGAAGTTTATTATTTAATACAAATATTGGAATATGGTAATATGCAAATAATATTAATTCAACTTACCGGCTACCATATTAATAATAACAATATATATATAATATAAAATATCCTAGGCTGACAAACCATCTAAACTCAGATCGTTTTTTGGATATAATGATATATTATATCATTGAATTTAAATTTAATACTATCCATAACAGTGACCCACTGCCCACTGGCCACTTGTAACCTACTGTACAACAGAGCGACATCCCCTAACCCACTTTATATAAATATATAAATTTAATATATTATATGCCATTTTCACTCTAAATACAAATTTTAAAATCCATTTAATTTTAATATTAATTACAGTTTCTGTGATGTTTCTTTGATGTTCAAGTTAAAAAAATCATTGATGTGAAATATGTATAATATTGGCCGCATTGGCGTACACATAAATTTATAATTACTCACTGTTAAGAAATAGTATCAGTAATACCACCATTAATTAATCTAACATATATGTATGTAAATTTAATCAATGAATAATTACTGTCATTAAATTTAAAATATAAAATACAAAACCGTTACTTAATTTAAGTAAGCTGTGATCTTAACACCAATCATAAGAACAGGGTTACTTAGGAAATAATGTAGGTACTTTATTATTTTATGACTATTTCAGACTTTGAATAAATATATGTTTCTATATCGTGTTTGATTATGTAAGTTTTTAACGCATAAGTTTCCAACGCCTGTAAAGTATCTTTTAAAACTTTATTTATATAAGTCAAACAACTTAGTTATCAAGAATGGTTAGTGTAGTAGGAATCAACCAACCAACTAGTCCTTAACTAAATACCTACATAAGCTAACCTAACGAGGGGTTAGTACCTATAACGATTTGTTAGGAGCGCCGGGCAATCGATGCCTCCAAAATTGTTCATAGTTAATGGTTCTAACTTACTAGCCCAGTACAATAACTGATTTTGGTTTTAAAAAGAAGTTGACGGGTGTTTGTTTTTGTCGACAGTATTTAATTATGTAGGTACTTCTTTTTATTACCCATTACAAGCTAAAGGGGCTGTCGATAGTTACACTGAATCCCATCCAGTTAAGGAGTAGTTGTTGGCCAATAGTTACTACGTACTAACCGGGTTGTTGGACTGATACAAATAAAGTTACCTATCTTAAGTTATATTTTTTTACTGGTCTTAGAAAAATATGACCTGTGTAAAGGAATCGAAGAAGATAAAGAAACATAGAATTATTCAAAATCTGAAATAGTTTTGAAATAATATAGTAGGTGTCTACTACAGTGTTGGGTAGATTACTTTTAAAAAGTAATGAAATTATGTTACTCGTTACTTCAAATATTTTAATTTAAATTACATTTTCGTTACCTAAAATTATTTTTATTACGTTACATTACATTTTCGTTAATAAAGTAGTGCGTTACAAATAACGTTACTTACTAATTATTATGTATACATTTTACAATCATAGACCTAGTGATAAAAAACCTACTATGTACAAATGAACAATCATCTCACCTATATGGCCATATAGTCACAATTCATAAATCATAATTCATTTAAATAAAATTTTATTTTTAAACCAAACTGTTTTCGTTTTTCTAATAAAGTGATAACATTTATTCCTGGAATGTTTAATAATATTTTTAACTATTATCGGAATCAAAAATAAATATGATTGATTTTTATTTTTCCTGAGATATCTTTCTGCTTGTGTTTGTAATACATTCAAAACTATTATTTTAATAACTTGGAAAATAACGCATTAGTGAGTTGCTTCAAAGAAATTACTTTTCAAAAGTAATTTTGTTACAATTGCGTTGTTTTAAGTAAAATGTATCTGATGAAATTACTGCTGCGTTACTGAAAAAATAATTGCGTTACAGTAATTTGTAATTTGCGTTACGTTACTGCCCAACATTGTACACTATCACCCGAGTAACATAGTTCTTGAGGTTACTGTTTGAAGACCACAAGTGTAGCAGAGTACGAGCTGAACGAGTAACTTGATATTATATAATATCATTGCAAATTATTATGATCAATACAACCTAAATAAATCAGTAAAATACAATTTTCAATCGTAGAGTTTGCCGTTGCTTGTTATTTCTACCTACCTATACCTGGAGTCTAAACTCGACCGACTCGGTGTATGTATAATATACTCGTAGGTAGAGGAACTCTACATTCCCATATTCTGTTTACCTAAGCGAATTTGCCGAGCCCGATATAAATACGACGAGTCAGTATACCTAACTGGTAAATCGTTACACTGTCTATGCAATATATTGTATAGTAACATCAATTTAATCAGTTCGAAATTTCGCATCATATTATTCATATATCGATGTTCGTTAATCGTTATTACAGGCTTAGTGAAATGTTATAGGTATTACAATTAAACAATACAAATATTATATCCTATTAAATCCTATTAAACATAGAAGTTGGCAGGACAATGATATTGGTATGAAAACATATTATTCTTGAAAATTATTTTATTTATTAAATGTAGGTAGGTACCATGCAGAATGTATAGACTAATATGCTAGTAGACAGTAGTATTTGGTACTAATTGAGTAGATATTTCTAAACTGATAAAGGAAGTACAAGGTCGATTAATCATAGGACGTTCAATTAAATTTTACTTGTTACTTTTGTGATTAATTTATTTTCATAATATAATATGCATTGTTGCAAATGAATTTTGAAGGATTTAATAAAATTATAAAATATAATATAAGAAGTTGGAAAATTATATTTATTTGATATTAACTACCAATATTATATAATAATATATAGTTTTAATTTTAATCTTATGTAATTGTCAGCTTCTAAGCTCCTTATTTCCCCAATAAATATCCTAATATATTATGACTGCGTTGTGTTCGTCCGTCTCGACTTTCGTTGCCTTGGTTACAGACATGAAGTGGCGCCGTTGTCCGTTTTCAAGTTTTGGGGACATAATTGCTCATAATTATGATGTGACGTATGAATAAATTTGAACATAGTGGTATATATGCTTTGAAAAGCTGATGACTGGGTATATTTAGGCGGGTTTTAGACTAGTTTTAATTACTAACGGCGCCGTATCTTAGTCACCTATACAATTATTGATTTTATAAAAGTATTGTTTAATGATAATACCCAACTTTTGGCCTACACTTTTTAAGGTTGATTAATATTGTTTAGATTTGTGTCGTAATAATAATCGTAATAGCAGTATATATTTGAAAGTACACATTTTCATTAGGTTTATATTATATAATATGTAGGTAGGTTGTTATATTGCCTAGTTATTTGTCATTTTAGACTTATAATATATAAAGTTAGCTAAAGAATCGAATAAATCACTATAATGTCCAGCATAACAGGACAAGTTCTTTATTTATTTTTCAAAGTGCTACCTAATTTACTTCAAGTTAATAAAAAAGAAAAATCTACTTTTTGAGTTAAAATTTACTGTATATGATTTGTCCAGAAGAATACATTTTTTAACTAAATTAAAAGTATAAATAATTAAATGTATAACCTAATTCGGTTTATAATAACTTTTAAATACTAAAATAGTCAAATCATCGTATACTAATTTTTATCGTAATTATGTATAAGAAAACAAATTATAAATATTATTTGGTGTTGTTTATTATATTTTAAAGTTTATCAATTACCAATCATGACTATAGGTAGTGTCGTGCCAAGTGCCACAGTGGGTGGTTAGGGGTTGTATCCCCCTCCCCTCATAATTCCTGGACACGTCATTATGACTAAGGATTGAAATATATTCAACAAAGTGCATAAAAAACTGATAAATGCATAGTTTTTTAAAAAAATAAAAAATTACATTACAGTTATTATTCATACGTCTTATCATTGTGAAATACATTTTTCTAAATTAATAAATTTATGTATTACCTACGAAAGTTGTTTGTAAAAATTAACTTGATAAAATTATTAGTTAGCATATCCAAAATGTTGAACATGAAACTTGTTAAAAGGACGCTACATGTCAATTTATTGTCTTCGTCTTACAATTGCTTAACATTTAGTAACCGTATGCTCAGGAGAATGCGTTCAGATCCGTTAGTTTAAAACTAGGGTTAATCGACCTATTATGGAACTTGATGGTATGTACATTAGCTGTGTTTGTATGTGGGTTTTTTTTATGATAGTTCAATTTTTTAGTAAGTTATGCTTAAATTAAAAATGTTCATAACTTACTTAAAAACTGAACTATCGTAATAATCCCACATTCAAACACAGTCTGTGTTACACAGATAATGTTCTTACCATCAAGTTTCATAATAGGTCGATTCACCCTAGTTTTTAAACTAACGGAGCTAAACTCATTCTCCTGAGTTAAACGTGATCGGCTGAGCGTAAATTTGATATATTATGCACTTGTGAGAAGTAGACGACAAATAGCGTCCTCTAAAGTTAAAATGTATGGAAGACTAGGAAATTGCAGTAAGTTAATCATATGCAGCTGTAAAGTGCGTTTGTCCTCGTAAGTTATCATTAATATGTAATTCATTAGCTATTCTACACTATTTCAATATTTCATTGGTTTATTTTTTTTTTTAAATTCCTTTTTATTCAGATATATTTTGGTTTATTGTTATACTACTATTTAAATACATTTCTAGGTTTACCTTCATTTTCCGTTTCATCGCCACCATTATGTTGATCGGTTGTTGTAATTGCTGTTGGCCATACAGTTTGACGTTGAATTACTTCTACACCTCCTCCATTACTACCGTCATTACGCCTGAGTGTAGGAGGTGACATTGGTGTCACAGCAGTAACAATTGAAGCAGCATTATTGGTTGAATAAATGCGACAATCTCCATTTGTGCCCGTTGGTATTTGAACCATAGACGATTCTTTTGAACGTTGTACATTCATCGAATCACTGCTTTCCTCATTCTTGGTGCGAGGTAATAGCTTTTGTTGAGGCTGTTGGCAAATATTGAAAATAACATTTTATTGAAAACATTATTATCTATATAGCTATTAAAGCTTTTAAATGGAAAAGTGAGGTGTATGTTAGTCTTTCTTATGGATATGGTTTAAGTTGTTTTAATTACTATTGTGTATAAGTAGGTACTGTGTATGTGTATTATTGGGCGTGTTACCTAGAAAAATATGTAATGAACCATGATATATGGGGCTTACTGTTAAAAAGTTGTGTTTTTTGCTATTAAGGTCAGGAGATTGCCATTTTCGTCGTTGAATATTATTATAGTGATCTGCTGTAACTGTGTCATTATTAATCATACTACCATCGTCTGGAAAAAAATTATTTAATAAATAAATAATTCTAGTAATATAAAGTTTAATGTCAGTAGTTAAATAAAATTAATAGGTACTTACAATTATTATTATCATTATTAACATTGTCGGGGTCACCACTGGCAGTAGTCGTATCATCAGCTGTAGTTTGGTGTTGTTGAAAATAACGATTGAGTGGTAAGGATAATGACGGTTGACAAGTTTGATTGAGCTGTTGTCGGTTAATATTTTTTTGTCGAACACTATTTGTTGAGTGATATAATAACTGTTGCTGTAGTTGTTGCTGATTTGAAGTAGGAGTTGTGATTGCAGAAGATACCATATCATTAATGGGAATGGCCAAAATTGTTTGTGTCATAATACCTTCAATGTAATAAAACATGCGAGTTAAATTATATATGTATATATTATAAACTCGATAAACTATTTACAACAATAACACTAACAATTTTAAATTTGTATTGGTTTTTATTACCTCGAGCTGTTGGTATTAGCAATTGAGCTGCTTGTAAGCATCCCGTAGTAAGTTGACCAGATGTTAACAAAAGTTGAGGTGGTGGTGCTGTGATTTTATCATCCTGATGTTGCTGTTTTTGTTTATTATTAGCCGAGGTAATATTCCAAGGAAATGGAATTTCTGTTGTTGGTATGTTATGACCATTGACCATATTTTCATCCTCATTAATGGAATTACCAATACCGTTTTTTTCTTCGCTATCGTCATCATATTCGCCTTCGTCGTCTTCACTCTTGTTGCCACCTTCTTCTGATGACCCTAAAATATATAATATACATACATAAATAACAATAAAATGCTCTTCAGTTGTATGTATTATGTTCATAAATATATGAATAGAACTCAACAAACCTTGGGAACGGGTTAAGTTCAAAGGCGATTGAGACAAACAATCATCATTACTAGTGTCACTGTTAATATCATTGGCTGTTACTATAGGTTCATCAAAATCAGTGTTTACCATAGACGGAGTTTTCTCATTAATCGTTGTATTTTTATTTAGGTTTTTAACTGAACTTGACGACAATATCGGTTCATCTATTGTAATAATTAAATAATTAGTAAAATTTAATACTATAATAATTAAAATTGTAAACAATATGTAACGTGGGAATATTTAAATAGGTACCTATTTAAGCAAGTTGATGTTGAAATAAATAACTAGCGATTTATTAAAATACCTTATACACCAGGAACACTAATACAGGTTATTAATTTAAAAAAAAATGTTTAATTTTTCTGTATTACCAACATTATTATTTACGAAATTTTTCTACCTTAGTAGTAATGTTATGTTCGTATATCTAATTGAGGCGTGTTAAACAAAACACTAAAAGCCAGTAGTCTTAGTCTTACTAGTTACTAATGTAATATATATAATACAAATAAAAAGCATTTCTTATAAACGCTAAAATATATTGATCGTTTTTTACGATTTTATAAAAAAAAACAATTGGTTGTTTCCTTTTGTTAATAATACGATCAAAGTAGGCAATATATTATATTTTCTATCGATAGGGTACAGATAAGTCTGATAACTGATAATAAAGATAATAAAAATGTAATGTTTTTCATACCACATCTAAAAATCATGACGAAGTATAATGCCGATTGAAAACGTTTCGTAGAATAGTACATTTGCAAAATAATAATAACTATAAATGCCTTGTATTGCTTCAGTTTAATCGATTTATTACTGTTCTGTTAAAGTTTATTATTTTAAACTATAAAGTGTTTTTCAGTATAAAATAACAACAAAGTACGAGTGTTCATTGAATTTTAGAATATCTAATTATGTAACATAATATTATATTTTTTTTAAGTCATTATTTAGTAGATCATAATATTATATAGGTACTTGAAGGTCATTATTCATTTTTATTTTTGTGGGGTCACGGTTGCTTTTTCATAAGTTCTGAACCCTAATAATAATTGTCACAATAAAGTTTATCATTAAACATTATTTACTTGTAATGTTGTAGGTTTCACTGTCATTATTTTTTTCAGAGTGTGTTGACAACGATAATGTGATTTTATCATCACTATTGGTTGCTTGCTGTTGTACAGTATGTCTTATTGCCGGTGTCATACAATCTCCTCCATTACTAAAATTGTTATTATTGGCGACTGTAGTAGTCTGTTGATAGCCATCCTATTTAACAAGAAAAAAATATAATATAATATATATTTAATACATTTTTTATAAATCTAAAAACCTTAGATTTCTTATTAAACCAATGGTTAAAATGTATATAAGAATAAAATTTAAGTATTATAAAAGAGTACTTAAACGCATTGGCGCGAATAATTTAAATGTAAAATGTGTATTTTCAGTATGACTTCCACCTTCACTAATTTTTTTAGTTTAACGAATACGGAATAGCCGAATAGGTAGTGATTTGGCTATTATAGTAGTAACACTGGCCACCTCATATTTAGCGCTGAGTAGCTACAATAAATTGTAATACATGTTGAAAGCTCTTACAATCTATAAACATACTTTCCATGTAAATATTTAACCCTTTTATCGTCGCCGGGCTGCTTTAATGTCATGCTAATTTAACCTTGCTCAATAATTTATATGTATAAAAATAATGTTAATATTAGTCTAGGTATATAAATAATTAATAGTGTTAAATTTTTGTACAAAAATTTGAAGTTCTTGTTTACCACATTTATGAACTGACATTTTCAAATGCATCCAATTTTAAGCCAATAGTCAATAATATTTTTGAAAATTATGTCATACAACCTTATTATGTCAACCTATAGGTAAGACTTTAAAATTAATAAGTAATAAAAAAAAATAAAATCTCTATTATCTAATATAACTAGTAGGTTATTTTCCAAACTACAGAAATTGTAGTAAACTTCAAAGTTGTGTTTTTTAAAAAAAAAGAATAAGTGAGCAGAACATTTTAGGATTTTCTCGTTCGTATTGAAAGTTATTTGTTTTCATTGTCTGAAAATATTCATTTCCATTTTTTTACCTAAGGTATGTCTTTATAAATATTTTATAGAGTATGTAGGTACTTCTACCTAATGCCAATAGGAAATTATTTCATTGCAATATTCCTGAAGTGTAGGTTAGATCACATATTCACTCTGATTGTAATCAAAATTGTTTCATTCTATATAACTAACACATGGCAGTTATATCTATGACCACTGATGTTAAAATAGTGGATAATGGATTAAATTCTTAACGATATTAAAAAAAGTTATGTTATTTTATAATTTATTTTTATATTGAAGAAAATAAATTATATTTTGATATATTATGTAAGAACTATTGTACAGGCGTAGATTCATCTTTTTGCCAATTACAATAGTAGGTAATCAGAATTTTCTCTTTCTCACTCATATAAATAAGAAAAACATTTTGAGCTCCATCTCTAAACAAAAAACTTATCTCCGGACAAATTATGACATCCTAGGAAATTACTTCTGCTGTCAATACGTTAATTTTCCACTTTAATTAACATATTAATTAAATCAAGATATTGTAGAAAATAATGTATTCATTAATTAAATATTTTATTGTAGTGGTGATTTAAATATAAATTGCAATCATGTTTAATAATTTTTTCAAAAAAAAAAAAACTATAATGCTTATAAAGTTTATAAGTGCAAATACAAACTTAATAAAAATAAAATTGTAGCTTCACGCCCTTATCAGAAAATAATGAGAATGTTGTTATTTTTAAATAATTAATTGTAAACATAACTATTTCGATAAAAAAAAATGACTGCAAACTTTGTTAAACATTCAGTCGGTACCAAATATAAAAAAATTCTTATTTCTCGGCTCTTTTAAGTATAAAACTTTTAACAGGAATCATCGTTTGTACGTCAATGCAATACTTGGCGGCGATGCTGCAATATGACAACAATAAAATATGTTTATAATATTGTGTTAGGTAAGTATTATGTAAAATAATACTTTAATTCTAACTAAGTTCATTTTTATCAATTCTCAATAAAAATTAGTTGGAAAAATAAAAATAAGGTGAACATGATTTAGTTACAGAATTATGAACATTATAATATAAATAGAAAATACCCGAGTTTGATATATAGGTAACTAGTACATAGTACTTGTTGAAATCAGTGAAGTTTGAAATGTTGGAATAGGTTGTTATGACTTATAAAATATATTCGCATACAAAATACAGATGAAATAGTTAAAAATAATCAATTATTAGGTACATTCTTAAAGATAACTAAACAAAAAGATAGTGCTAGATACTAGATTTATGTTGGCAAAATAATATATTATATTATTAACGTATCTGTAAATATCCATTTGACTATTTGTTTCCATTATTCACATTAATATCAGTTAAATGAACTAGCTATATCTCTAGCGTATTGAGTATTTTGTGTACCCAGTGCTTAATCCAGGTATACTCCAGGCATTTGCCCGAAATTTCATTCGCCCTCCCTCCCAAACACAACTGTCATCGAAATGTATTTATTAAATGTACAATACTCGTTACGATTACCTACCTAGAACTTATCTAATCGCGTTCAACAACATTTGTTTTGTAATTATTTCTGAATTTAAATTGTCATAATTGTAATTTGTTACAACTAATCAATAATCAATAATAATATAATTCATAATACTAAAATGTATGCCAAAATAGATGACAAAAAAGTGAGCCCTCCTCAGAAAAATTATCTAGATTGAACACTGTGTGTACTTACTATAAATTATAACATTATGTAGGCAAATATGACCCATAGTTAAAACTCGATTAATTATTAATTAATAAATACAATATAGCACTTTGATCCACTTGGTAGGTACCTACGACCTACATATGTCATTTCTATATATTTCTACATATCATTTCTATATATTTTCTATATATTTCTATATATCATTTCTATATATTTTATTATTCTCAAATATATTTAAATATAATAGGTATATAAATATATGTATTAGTGTGTGTAATGAACAGTAATAATAGACGCTATAATATGATGATAACGATGATGATAATATTAATACTCTATACTCTACAGTCTACGTAGCACAATTTAAAATAATATTTTATATATCAGTGCCAGATATATAAGGAGATCCAGATTAATTCTCTCTCACCCGTTGAAAAAAAAACCAATAGTAATAAAACTATATTAAATTTCCCGTATTTGTGTTGTACTAGGTAAATGTACACAATACACATATAAATACAACATAGTATTTATAAATTAGTGTAGTGCACTAATGTCTAATGCTAATAGGTACCAATGTAATAATAATTTTGGTCACAAGAAGCGTATAAGTCACCGATTTCAAGCGTAAAAAATGTTCAAAATTACTGATTAAACTGAGTAATAGTTGAAAAAAATGTACATGAAAAAAATAATTTTAACATCATAATTTTATTTTTTTCATGTATTAGAGATAGTGGGCAAATCGAGGAATGTTATTATCTTAAAATGATGTTTTTTAAAAATATTTTTCTGTGACCAAACGCTTTAATTAGCCCATCCATTGATTTAAAATCGAATTATAATTGGTATTTTTCAATTTTTTCAGTATCTATTAAAGAATTAATATTGTTTTTCCTAACATTGAAGATATGAAACATTATAGTAAAGCATATTTATAACACTAATCGTTAATCAAACCTGACCTTGTCAGATTCGTTTTTAAAATGCCTTATCTGTTTAAGCGTTTTTATGATTTTTTTTTTAAGTAGGTACCTATCTATATCCACATAAGTAAATAAGTTGATATAAATCATGAACGAAAATGTGGGTACCTATTAATTTTGTTGTCTAGTACATTGCATATTTTTTACCGATATCGTTATTATGTAAGATTTAATTCTAAATATGAATACATTTTGTGTTATGAGTATAGAAATTCTAGAATAAGCAAAAAATACAAAATGTGCATTAAATAATCAAATCAATCCACGTTTCAGACACACGACCACAGTGGCGTAAATACCTATCCATCGTTATTTTCTTTATTATCTTAAGCATCTCTCGTAGTGTTTTTCGTAAGTGCAACAACGAGTTTAAGGCCTGAGATAATTTCTTGATTGCTTGAGTGTAAAATATAATTACAGGTATACATAAGCAAGTTATCTAGGACTGGATCCCGCTCCCGTATATAGCATGATTTATAGGTATTATCATATACCTACGACACATGTATAATTACAACGATTGTCGGGTTCGTCGCGAATTTTGCATTACGCACCTAAATTATTATATGATTATATAGTATTATAATAACGCACATTAGATTTGATAACAATATGTTTGACACGAACTATAGAGGCTCTCTATAGTGGGCGTATCGAGGCGCAAAGGGCCTACGCGTAACAATTGCAATAAATCCCTGAACATGGTAGGAATTTAAAAAACGCAAAGGCTACAATTCGAAAACGGAAAACCCAGTCGATGACGTTGACAACTTCGTTTTGTTTTCGGCTGTTTCGTTTTCGTTTTTCAATGTTGGACTAGGTATTTTAATATAATATTATTTTCTATGAAATTATAATATATATAAGTAGGACGTAGGTACTATAACAAGTGTTATAAAGTAGGCGTATTTTCATTTGTTTATATTTGTTGTTCAAGTTGGTAGGTACAGCCGTTTCGATTTCCAACGCAAAATATTTGATCAAAGGTAAGCGCTTATTATTGTGTTATTAATTTATATCGAACATTCAAATGTATACCTGTAATGCATATCGTTTGAAATTGGGGAGATATTTCCCACTCGTAAAGTTACCTAATATATTATATTTATACAAGGATATTATACGTAATAAAATTTCAATCAGAATTGGTAATTATTGTTTTACATTTTACTAATAAAACGAAGTGAAGTCATTCCATAAATAATTCTAATTTTGCGTTTTATTGTACAAATGTATATTATAATATGATACAACATACGTGTGGGTATGTATAATATAACTACCTACCTCCCAAACAGTTAATTTTCTATAAATTATAATACTATATATTTACAATTACGTTGTAGGTACCTAACCTAATCTAAATTTTATGTACTTTTGTAGGTACCTATACCGGCACCGGTTCCCGACAGCCTCCATATAAACAATAATTAACATGGTTTTGATATCGAGAATTTAGTTTGTTTTTGTTGAATCAAAA